GATAAACAGTACGAGATATTTACTACAAACGAGATATTAACACTACAAAAGGGGTGATATCACCTAAAACACGCAAGGTATTTTTGGATTGTCTAAACCGCGGGCAACGGGCGTCCGCGGGCGCCCAGCCGGCGGGTATGCCCCCACTTCAATCATCGACCCACCACGTTTGAAACTATTTAGTTTAGTTGGTGCCATTTGATGATATCATTACTTTTGTAGTATTATCGACGCGAGTACTCCCGATGCACGTAGGAGATCGTTCTGTTCTGACTTCTGTACTGTATTGTGTTTTTTGGACTATCACGTTCGACCATATATACTGCGATCCCCCGCCAAGATTCCAGGAAGTTTTCCCAAAATCTTATTGGTGGGCCCTTAGGTCCGCCTATCGATCATCGATCAGCGGCTCGCAGACATCGGGGAAAACAAAGGGTGCGGGGATTACGGAAGCCGCGCGCCCGAGCTCACCGGCGCCGTACACGTTCGAATTCGCACCGCACGCCGCCCCTAATCTTTGTAAACAAGATTGCGCGGATGCGTCGACAGACGGTCGCCGGTGTCGATGCGTGCGTTCCGTGCCGCTTATGTCATCGTCCTTTGTTGTGTACATATACGCATGTACATACATTGCGTCGTAGAAACGTCGCGCACGATCCTTCTACGACGCAACACCGTCCTTCCGTATCCTTCCCCCACGTGCACGACAGAGTAAAGTTCGATTTTTATCATTGACTCATCGCATGTATGCGCTGGAACGCGCCCATCGTGTCCGACTCGTGAGAGACGCTACGCAACATCCTCCCCCCCGTTGAGAGGGTAGCGATCAACTATCCTATAGATTAGTGATCAGATTCGTATGTGTGTTGTGCGTTATAATGTATATATATATATAATGGAGTACTCCAACGTATAAATTCGTCGACGAATTACGCATTTGTTATATCGCTTCGAGTTGAGACATAGAGATATTATGATACATGTGGTAATTATCGCTTGTATAAATATGACAAATATGACTATAAATATGACTATTTATCAATCGGGAGGGGGCAGAGACAGTTGACGGTTCTCTTCGTCTCTCCAGCTGCGGTTTTCATGGTAACCGCTCGTGTGACACCATCCTCTCCCGCATGTAGTTGTAAGACTCTGCCCAACGTCCACCGTCCACACGGCACGTTTTTGTCCTTTATGAGCACGACGGTCCCGATGTCGAGCTTCGGTCCATTCTTAGTCCATTTGTGACGCACCTGGAGCTCATTGAGGTATTCGAGGCTCCAGCGTGCCCAAAAATCTTGACGAACCTTAGTGATGTGCTGCCAGATAGACAATCGGTTGTCTGGAACAGCGGACAAGTCGCCCTCGGGGAGGGTCGTTAGTGGTTTGCCGATCAAATAATGGGCTGGAGTTAAGGCGAGCAAGTCATTCGGATCGGATGATAGGCAGGTGATCGGTCGGGAATTCAGGACACCTTCGACTTCGACTACAAATGTGTTTAATTCCTCGAACGTGAATAAGGATTCCCCGATTACTCGCTTGAAATGATGCTTAAAAAGCTTCACCGAGGATTCCCACAAACCGCCGAAGTGCGGTGCGGCTGGCGGTATGAAATGCCATGTGATTCGACGTTCGGACGCAAACCTATTCGTTTTGGCCTTGTGCTCCTCGGAATTGAACAAAACATACAATTCCCTTAATTGATGATTCGCGCCCACGAAATTTGTTCCGTTATCGGAATAAATTCGTTCGGGTAAACCCCGTCTAGCAGAAAACCGTCGCAGAGCACCGAGAAAACCTTCAGTCGTTAAGTCGCTCACGACTTCGAGATGTATTGCCTTTACGGCCATACATACAAATACACATACGTAGACCTTAACGCGGTTTCTATTGCGATGTTTTCTTTCCTTAATATAGAACGGTCCGCAAAAGTCAATGCCGGTGTTAGCGAATGGCACCGCTTCACGCACGCGAGCCGGTGGGAGATTCCCCATTTTATACTCGATCGCGTTAGCGTTGAAACGTGAACAATGAATACAAGTGCGCACGATTTTCCGCACTTGATTCCGTCCGTCCATCAACCAAAATCTTTGACGTAGGATGAATAAGGTGGTCTGAATGCCCGCGTGATAATGCGTCTCGTGAACTTCGCGAATGATGCTATCAGTTAAATGATGCCGGCTCGAAAGCAAGATTGGATGTTTTTGCGTAAATGTTAAATTTGATTTTTGGAGACGCCCCCCCACGCGAACCAATCCATAATCATCCAAGAACGGGTTTAAATTGGTGATTTTGCTCTTGTTCGTCGAACCCCTAAGTTTGAGTTCCTTGATTTCATTGGCAAATTGAGACGTTTGAAGGATCCGTAATATTCGTTGTTCAGCCTCAATAATCTCGCTTGCGGATAATGAGCCGGTAGACTTAATGGTACGGCGAAAACGGAGGCAATACGCTATGATTCTGAGCAATTTAGAATAGGAAGAGTATTTGGTGAGAATCCCGATATCGTGTGTCGCCGCTATCAAACAGGTGTTTTTCTTTAATTCTGTTATTTCGACGTCTGTTTGCATGATCTCATTGGGCCACTCGCTCTCGTCCTCGACTAACCACGAGGGTCCCGTAAGCCATATTTTGTTTCGCAAAAAAGTATGAGGCAACTGACCTCTTGACAACGCGTCCGCTGGATTGTCTTCTGACTGTACGTGCCGCCATACGTTGGAACCAGTGATGTTCTGAATTTCTGTGACTCGGTTTGCTACGAATGTCTTAAGGAGATGAGGCGGCGTTTTTATCCAATGCAAAACGATGGTCGAATCGCACCAGAAAATGACTCGGTTAGGTGTAACGTTAAATATAGCGCTTGCTTCCCGATAATTGCGCCAATATTAATGCACCACAGAGTTCTAAACGCGGAATAGTAATAGGCTTTAACGGCGCAACTCTGGATTTGGCGCATGCCAATCTGACAATCGTAGTCTCATTTTCCCTGCTAGATCGAACATACAAGCATGCACCGTAGCCGACACTACTGGCATCACAGAATCCGTGTATTTGAACGTCGTGATAGTCGTTTATTAGCAATTTACGTTCAAAGGTAAAGCGATTTATTGATTCTAATTGCCGAACAAATTCCTTCCACTCCGTATATATGTCTTGTGGGACAGATTCGTCCCATTGTAAACCAGAACGCCATATGTCTTGCATCAGCCTTTTAGCGTATAGAATAATCGGACCGAGTAATCCTATTGGATCAAAAATCTTTGCAATTTCCGATAATATGTTTCGTTTTGTCAATCTTTGAGTAATTTCGATCGGACGCACCGCATAATGCATTTGATCGTCTCGCGTATTCCATGTTATACCTAACGTCTTTACGGAACGATCCACGTTTAACACGAGATTAGTGTGCAACGCATTGGATGCTAAATCGTTAATAACGCGCTCGTCGTTGGAGGCCCATTGCCTTATGGAGAAGCCACCCCGCTTCAGCAACGCGATCATTTCGTCACGGACGGCACGCGCCTCGACAATCGTATCAGCGCCGGATAGCAAATCGTCCACATAAAGATGTGTGGTAAGGATCTCGGCCGCTCGAGGATACGCATGACGTTCGTCCTCCGCAAGTTTCTGTAAAACTCGAATCGCGAGGAAGGAAGAAGGCGAAACACCGAATGTAAGCGTGTTAAGCTGAAACGTTTTAATCCTACCATCCACGCGCCAGAGGAATCTCTGATAACGGCGATCATCCTCGTGCAATAACACCTGGCGATACATCTTTTCGATGTCCGCCGTGATGACATAATTATATGTGCGGAATCGAATTAAATGCGAGAACAACGTGTCTTGAATTGTAGGTCCTACCATTAACGCGTCGTTCAACGACATTCCGTTATTCGTCTTCGCCGACGCGTCGAACACCACTCGAACCTTAGTCGTGTTACTCGCTTCTTTGATTACCGCGTGGTGCGGCAGATAGTAACCGTCGTCATCAGGATCCTCTATTGCTGACGTATGATGGAGGGTCAAATACTCCTCGATTACTCGCGCGTACTCGTTTCTTAACGCTGCGTTTGAATTGAGTTTACGCTCCAGCGACAATAGACGTTTCAGCGCGATGGAACGCGATTCCCCTAGTCGCATGTTTGATTTGCGAAACGGTAAGCGAACTTTGTAACGCCCGACGGCATCGCGAGACACCGTTCTTTCGAAGTGCGCTTCGCAATCGATTTGCTCGTCCGATTTCACCTTGCCTTCCCTGACTTCTTCAATTGCCCAAAATTTGTTTAATTGATTCTCGAGATTCGTCATGTAACACGTAGATTTTGAAGGAACTTGCGACGGTACACCACCTACCACAACCCATCCGAGTCGTATTTTCTGCAAATACAGATCGTGATCTTCACGCGACAAGTTGATCTGTCCGACGGAGAACAGAGATAAGGTGAGCCCTGAACCAATCAGCAAATCAACCGCGCGTGGCAGGTGGAAACTCGGATCCGCCAATCTAACGTTTGATGGTAATTTGATCGTTTCTCTCGGAAAGACTTCTGAGGGAATTAAATCGGCGATAACCGGAATCACCAGACACGTAAGATCCCTGCGATAATTATCGTGCATGGATTGCATAGTGATCCGTACCATGCCTCTCGACTCTGTATTTACGTCATTGATCATGCCGACTGACAACGCGCCTCTGCTTACTCGAATGTTCAACCGCTTCAGAATAGATTCCGAAATAAAATTTGCTGTGGCACAAGTATCTAACAAGGCGCGGCATTTTATCGGCTTACGCTCGCTGTCTCGGATATATACCACGGCACTCGCTAGTAACTGTGGCGCGGGTGTGTATGACATTATAGCATGATTTACCCTTGCGGTATTAATCGACTCGGCTAGTCATGCGGTCTGTGTATCTACGGTATTAGAAGTGGAAGTTCGATTCGTAACCGGATGTTTATCTAAATGCAAAAGAGTGTTATGTTTCTTTTGGCAAATTGTACAGTTCGAAAATTTGCAGGGGCTGTCTCTATGTGAGCGGAAGCAGTTGTAACAAACCTTCGCGTTTCTCACCGTTTCGATGCGTTTAGGTATAGGTAGTTGTTTGAATTTGTCGCATAAATACAAGGGATGCCGTTTCGTTTTGCATGCTATGCAATTACGCGCCGCGCTCACGACAAACGCTTGATTCGAGGGATGACTTCGTCTTTTTTTGCTCGAGGGTTCTCCCCTGCTTCCTTCCATGTCGGTTACCTTCGCTCTCTCGCGCTTCGAGACGCAAACCGCGGTTTTATATAAGAACTCGTACATCTGGTCGAGTTCCGGAAACTCGTCTCTTTCGAGAGTTGCCTCCCATTTTTCCAACGTTATCCTTGGTAGCTTGGTCTCTAGCAAATGCACGATCATCTCGTGTCCGACCGAAATTCCCAAAGAGTTTAGCGATGCAACGTGTTGCTGTGCGTCGTCCGCGAGTCTGGACAAACCGTTCGTTGTTTCTTTGTCTAGCGCGGGCAAATTTAATAGCAGAGAGAGATGCCGCGATATCAAGATCCTCTTGACTTCATATGACCGTTCTAATAAGCTCCAGGCCTTGGCATAATTAATTCCGTCAATTTCGAAGATCCTAATCTTGTTCGCGGCTTCGCCAGTTAACGCCGCTCTAAGATAATGCAATTTGTCTATTTCCGCAAGGTCCGTTCGCGAGCCTATCATACTGTAAAACGCATTTTTGAATGATAACCATCCCTCGAATCTACCATCAAACCTTGGTAACGGCGTTTCGGGCAGTTTAATCCGCCGTTTCTCAACCGGCGGTACGATGTCCCCGCGCCGCACTTCTTCGTTTGATACGCTGGTGCTCGGTCGTATCTCGCGACGGCGCCTCTCCCGGACGTAAAATACTCTCAATTTTTCCCGCCAAGCCATAAAATCGCTCCTGGATACCCTCGAACTCGACCCGATGATTTGCGTTGGGATCTAATACCGCGAGTTCATCGTTATACTCTTCGAAGGCCCGATATAATTGCGTTAAACGCTCGTTTCGCAACCTTAACGTCGAGTTATCAATTTTCCCCCCTTCGACGATATTGGCTAAATTGGTTATTTGGGATTTCAGGGAAGTTCGTTTCTGAACGAGGAATTTGATTTTGTCCGCCATCTCGGCATGCGACGGAATGTAAATGCTGGGAAAGAATGACTTACTCTTACGCCTGTCGAGTACGATTGCACACGTTTCTCCTTCGGCTGACTTGGAAGACCCGCTCTTAGTAGATGTGAGGCGGCCTGCAGGCTGGATCCCGTTTCTTGCGTGGATTGAGGCACAGACCTCACAGGAGGCACCAAAATGTTCAGTATCAACACGAACAGTATTCGTGTTCGCGCTGTCTTTTCGCGTAATAACAAGTTGTGTTGTTCGTGAATATATTGTTTATTGTTTAGTCTTAGAAATACGCCACAAATCACAATGTCTCGCACTCGCGATGGAGATACCCGCGACAACGCCTTGGGGACGCTGCCCTGGGTCGCGGACGATTCGTATGTTCGGACTTGTCGTTTTTTATCGTTTGTTGTACGATAATTATGTGGTCCGGCGACGACGCCTTGGGGACGCTGCCCTGGGTCGCGGACGATTTGTATGTTCGGTGACTCAGGGTAACAGCCCCAAGGCGTCGTCACCGAACATACAAATCGTCCGCGACCCAGGGCAGCGTC